GGCTTTAAGCAAATTAAGTTTTGAAAGATTGCCTGCAATGTGCTGGACTTGACTTAAGATTTGAGGCAACCCGGTTTTCAAAACTCCAGGTAGTATTATTTTTTTGTATATCCCCAAACACTGTACATACTACATACTATAATTTTTCGACATCCACTCCTGACTGGCAAAATGAAAAATGACAACCCCCCGTCTTGATAATGAAAGTGAAGTACTATCAACGATACAGAGTCAGTAGAGATATGTTTAAATTAGAGAACTGAAACAAAAGGAATCAAGATCATAGATGGTAGTATTTCTGGCGTAAAGGAACTTGTGGTCGGAGTCATGTCAGAAATCGTGGGCTATTGAGACAATCATACTTAGGTTATCAAGGTTAAATTTAGGCCTCAAGCAGAAACGTAACCTGAGATCAGACAGAAATCTACCAAAAGAATCAGGCCGAATTCAATTGGCCCTCAAAGTTATGAGAAAGTAGTTACCCCCTTTATCCTTGAATCAGGGGCTTTGAATGCGCCAGCGGCTGGGTCAGGAGGGGCTGGGTCATACCGTTGTCACAGTGATATGTGTATCCCCGTGATATGTGTATTCTCGTACACATATCCCTAGTGATATGTGTATCTCTCCAATATGGCTGCCAGTGAAATGTGTATCCCCTACTTATCCCCTACCCCCCTACCCCCCACCCCTCCAAACAAGTGTCGGTTTTATTTCTGTTGTTTTTGTGAATTTTGGGAATCATCGTCACAGGGACCACAAATGATTCACGATTATGAGCAACACAATCGACAAAAGAGCAACGATTCGAGACAAAATAATCGCAAAGCTTTCTCTGGCGAGTTTACTTCTTCGTGGGCCGCAATGTTGATGTAAACATTCGTTCTCGCTCCTCTCCTTATCCAACGTGATTATAATTTATACGTCACTAGTCGCGTTAAATAAGTATGACTGACAAAATTTCATTCAGCAAGGGATAACTCGAAAAGTCAAAAAATAGAGAGGGGATACACATATCTCTACGCTAGTTCAGTGATATGTGTATCCCCCCTCCCCCCTGCAAGAACCATAATAATCCACATTTTAAGTTTGATTCCTGTCTTAAAGGGAACCTCCACTTCAACAAAAAGATAACTTTAAATCACAGGAAATAACTGTTACAGTCAAGTCAATCTAAAATATTTTTAAAGAAAGCGTTTGTATCCGAAAGAAATAACTTTTAGACTCGCCTATTTTTGTTTTCAAATTTTGCGGGCGTCGCCATCTTGAATAATTGTGACGTGTTACGGTTGCCCTATTGTTATTAAACAAAAGCTCTTTGTGTCAGAACAATAGAGCAACCATAACACGTCACAATTATTCAAGATGGCGGCGCCTGCGAAATTTGAAAGTGAAAATAAGCGATTTAAAATTCACTTTTCCTGATATAAACACTTTTTTTAAGGACAAATTTCGAACAAATTTGTTTATCAACATAATTTTATTCGATTTAAACTTATTCTGTAGTAAGAGTGGAGGTTCCCTTTAAACCTAGTTGTATTACTAGTCGTTCTGATAGATTATATGGACGATATTCCCTTTAGCAAGAGAAGGAAAACAGGGGATACACATATCTCCGCGCCGGGTCAGGGATATGTGTATCCCAGGGCGGATAAAGGTTGGGCGGTGAAACGAGCGCGTCCGAGCAAAAAGGTGTGATGCAGTGGACTGGAACTCTGCTTAGAAATGTTGCTTGTTTACGACGCTTGCGATGTGCTTTGTCGGTTTGTCCATTAGACACTGCCGCTGTCACTAAATTATGGCGGCTTGATTTGTTTTCTTGCACTTCTTCCTCGTTCCTTTGTGCTGGTACGCTGTCTCCGAGAGGCAAATGTTGCTTTTTTTGCGGAAGGTTTGGTTGGAGTAGACAATCATCTCTTTCAAAGGGTTTCTCTTATTACTTCCATGATTCTACCACTGAATTATATTTTCGTTCTACCACTCGCCAATGTCGATGTTATTCCAAAACAAAAACAACTAAGTACTGTCTAAAACACGAAGGAAAATCTCATCTGTGTCATCTATGGCAAAACTAAAAGACAGCAGATCGTGTTTCATAACTAGATGACGTATATTTTATAAATGCGTGCAGCTCGTGCAAGGTGAAATTATGCTAATTTCAATCACCACCATCCTTCTTTTTAAGTTTGAAAAAAAAAAAACATCTCATACGTCTTTCTGTTTCTTCGAAACTTCAAAATTAGTTTCCCCTCAGTTTTTACTGTTTACCTTGCTTGAAAAACGGAGAAAAAACCTTACAACTAACCTCAATAAATTTAGTCTACATGCGGTTGCCGGATTTGCGACGCATTGCGCGAATCGCCATGGTGCGTTGCACCAGAGAAGCAAAGTTTGAAGCAGTACAACGCCACTATATCAAAAAATATCAATCTAATTTTTTGTTGTGTCATATAAAATTTATCCCCCTTTAACATATGCAAAAATTGAGGTTAAGAAGTGTTAAGCTTTTGCAAACGAAACGGTGAAAGACGATTAGGTGATATTTAGTGGAAGGAGGAGGTATTCAACACTTTCAAATTAAACTCAAATTTTGGCATTATACGACCAACAAGTTTGACTTATAGGCATACAGACACAAACTTATGAAACTGTTTATTGATGTTGTTATGAAACGAATATATCTATTTAACATTGTAGCCTGAAATTACAGAAAGAAAATAGGATTTCCGGTTTGCAAAGAGGAAAATTTCGCCGGCCTTCAAGCGCACCGGAAGCGCGGAAAGAGCGCTCGTGCCAGTCCTACTCCGCATCACACATTAAATGAAGAGCGGAGCGCTCGTTTCACCGCCCAACATTTATCCGCCCTGGTGTATCCCTTTTGCGAGCGCCACAATATTCCACCTTTGCATGTTGTTTGATTCCTCAGTTAACCCCAACCTCGTTCCCAGGGTTCTCTCCTACCCGCCCCTGTAGCCCTTCTCTCTCTCTCTCGCTCCGTAGGGCGGGTAGGAGAGAACCCTGGGAACGAGGTTGAGTTAACCCTTGTTATGTTACTAGTTATGTTAGATGATATCGACGATATTTCCTTTAGCAAGAGAAGATAATTCCTTATTGTGTCGCGGATGAGCATCAGTGTTTATTGTATCCCCACCCGGGATACACATATCACTGGGGATATGTGTACGGGGATACACATATCACGGGGATACACATATCACACCGGGTCATCTTGCTTTTGAAAGAAAACCGCTGAATATTAGAGAAAGCAAATGACGTAGCTGCGTCAACTGCTGCGTCACGGGGCGTCGATAAAACCAGGAACATGGAACATCTCGGAACATTCCGGAACATCCCGGAACATGAAAAAATTAAAATATTTTTTTATGAAAAAAAATTAATTAATTAAATAAATAATAAGAATAGTAATAATAATAATAATAATAATAAATAATAAAAAGAACAATAGATAGAAAACAATTTTTGCAAAAATTTATAATAACAAAATAAATAACTTACCATAACATAAAAACGAAAAATAATGAAACAAACAAAGAAAGAAGGAAAGAAAAAGAAACTGGTATCATCTCCGAGTATGAGAAAACAATATTTTGCCGCAATGAATTTTTTGGGCGAGTGAGGGTCCATTCAAATGACAGTAATGAGTAAAGGCTTGCTTCTAAATTCAAAATATATTACAATGGGTCGCGAGGAGGGGATTTTCAAGCTTTCCTGACACAGCCACCTCTTGTAAATGTTTGCCATGTTATTTAACGGTTATCAATTTACGGCTTTGCGACCGTAAGAAGAGCTTAGGGGCTCGTTGCTTTGGACTTGGATAATTACATTAAAGATTCACATTCGCCGTGAATAGTTGCAGTGGCAGTGGTAGCGCAGCGGTAGTTCCTAACTGTTATCAGTCAACCTTTTTTTTAGTCGTCTCCCCGCCAAGAAGAAGAAGAAGAAGAAGCAAGCCTTCACTCATTACTGTCAATTGTATGAACCCTCACCCAACAAATTTTAATTTGTTGCGACAAAATATTGTTTTCTCGTACTCAGAGAGGATACCAGTTCCTTTTTCTTGATTATTTCATTCTTTTTCGTTTTTTTTTTTTGTTATTCTACGTTCTTATTAACTTTTACAAAAATTATGTTATTATTATTATTTTATTATATTTTTTTTTCATGAAAATTATTTTTATTTTTTCATGTTCCGGGATGTTCTGGAATGTTCCGGAATGTTCCGTGTTCCATATATAAGATGGAACAGTCAACGGCGAACTCAAACTCCTTCAAAATCGCTCAAAAAACCGCTTTTGAGGCAAAAGGACGACTATACACCACAGGTAAGGTAATTCAGCGTTTATTTATCATTGATTTAGATACATAGTTAGCGATATATCGCTATAGGTGAAGCAAACGGTAAATCCAGTACATTTACTATAAAATAACAATCGGCTACACAAACAGATTGTGTGGGCTCCCTGTGCTTTTATCGACGGCCTGCGTCACGGTAGGTCGTAGCCCCGGGGGGGGGCACTCCCATACATTACCTATACGGGTATGTGCCGCCCAACGGGGTCGTGATTTTGAAGCTCCTGATTTAGAACGGGGTATCCATTTCAGGGGCGTTTTCTAGAACGGGGTATAAAAAATTGTGGATCACGGCTATATCTTCTGCTTAAAATTGTTGCTGATTATGAAGAAGCATTTATTTGATGTATAAGTCGAACAAGGAAAGAAATATCTCTTAAAAAACAGGGCTTTTTCAATTTACAAACTTTCTAGAACGGAGTATAAGCAACTGGCCCATTTCTAGAACGGGGTATCAGTTTTAGGGCGAATTCTAGAACGGGGTATAAAAAATTGGCTCATTTCTATAACGGGGTATCAATTTTAGGGGAAATTTTTTTTAGAACGGGGTGCCAATTTAGAGTCCCGGGCGGCACATACCCACCCAAAAATTATCCAAGTGCCCCCCCCGGGGTCGTAGCATAAAGAAAAGCGAAAAGCTTTGGTTGCCCGCAAGCTATATCCGATCGAAAACGACTTGCTCCGTTTATTTTAGTAATATGCATCAACAGAATCCTGCTCCTCCGACAACAATTGTTATTCCCTGCGAGAAATGTGCTCTGATTTTCTTCACGACTATGTTTTTGCTCGTTGGTTTTATCTTGACTATGGTTGGAAATTTGGCGAAACCTTTCTGTGACTTCTGTAAAGAAGACATTCGTGAGACGGAGCGCCGAAATCTAAAAAATTGTCGAATCGTTGGGCCACTTTTCTTGGCGATCGGCGTTGTGTTGTTGATTGCTACCATAGTGTATTCTCGCATCCAGAGAAAGAACAATGCCGGACAAGTTATAAGCGGACCGAATACTGGTCAGATAGGTTCAACAACTCAAGGAGGATCGGGCAATGTGACGACCACCACTCAATATCCTAGCCCCTATGGCTTTCACCAGCCGGCGTACGGGCAAACACCCATGTATCCACCGGGATCATATCCGCCACCGGTACCGCCCGCTGTATATTCGACTTATCCGACAGGACCAGCTTATCCTTCATCGACTCAGTACCCTTTTAATTCTCCCTATAATGTTCAAGCACCATACCCAACAGAGATGCCTCCACCCCCATCATATGAAGGTACCGTTGGCCAAAGTGACACTGCTCCAAGTGTCCCTCCTGCAGAGAAAGTGGAAGCATAGAAATGAAGAAAGTGGAAGCATAGAAATGAAGGATAGAAAGGTTGGATTTTGGTCAATTTTGCTTGTTGCCCTTCGAGTCATATTACTTGACTCTCTCTTTAACAATTATTCCTCGAGGCCGAATGGGCTATTGACTCAGAGACCATGAGGGCCCGAGGAATAATTATTTTAGTAAAATCCAACTAGTCGGTCAAAAATATCGAGAAAAAACAACTTTAACTAGTTAAAGCTAGAAATTTTGCCACCAAAAAGTCAGTGCTTTTCACTACTAGTGGGCTACTAAAACATATACTAGTAGTAGCTCAACCAATCAGAATGCAGCATTGATGGTAGACCACTAGTTGGATTTTACTAATAACAGATACCTCTATAAGATGGACACCTTGGTGCTATAGACACCTAGGGCGCTTTCCATTTAGGAAAAAAACCCGGAAATTTCGGTGGTAAGAAAAGTGGAATTTCCGATTGGTAAAAAGTTGTTCCATTTGGTCATAAACCCCGGTACGTGGCGGTGCCCGACCGTGGACCTGGAACTGGTACAAACTACGAGAAACGTAAATGGAACACGACATTCCGTTCGGAAATTCCAACCGGGAAAACGGGACCACCTTTTTAGATTTTCCACTTTTTCTGGGAATTTTCCAGTGGGACGAGCCGACGAAACGTGTTCCATTTACCGCCGAACCGGAGATTCCGGAAATTTTGACTAAATGGAAAGCGCCCCTAGAGTTGGTTCTTACATGTACCTTACTTTACTCCCTTTATTAGACTCTCTATAAGATTGACATCACTATTAGACAGGCACTTGGTGACATTCCCAAAGTGTTTGTCTTACAGAGAGTTGACTGTACATATTACTTTAACTTGTGACAACTTTTGATTACTTTACAAAACATGTCCCAACTTCCTTCAACTACAGGTATAATCAATCCATTCTTTGGTTAAACCAGGTTTTTTAGATTTGAGTAGGTGTCTGCTAAATGGCTGAACAATTCAAGTTAGTGATCCATACAAATAGTATTAAAAGTAAGGACTGTTGTTGACAGCGACTGACGTTTTGACAACCCTGGGTAGTCATCTTTAGAGTCTGGTAGTCATCTTCAGAGTCTGAAGATGACTACTGCACAGGTTGTTGAAATGTCAGTCTCTATCAACAATAGTCCTATTCAGGACTACGCTCACCCGGACAATTGTACAATGTATTCCACCCACTTATGAAATGACTCCAGGGCTTAAACCTTTCACAGTATTAAAAATATATTTGGAAATCTGGTGAGTCATTTGTTTTGGTAAAATTGAACCTCTCTATAACAACCCATCTGATAGGGTGCAATAAAAAATCAGAAATTGTGTGATATTTTCATGGTAGATTGTGTGATAAGATAGGACTACTATGTGATAAATTATGCAGTCTTTTGGGGGCTAATTAGCATTGATTTATAAGGTTTCAAAGGAAAAAAAATCACTTTAATGTTGTTTAACAGGCAATTTGAATGTAAAAGAATCAGAATATTAAAACATCTATTTTAAAACAAATTAGTTTAATTTGTCCAATTAGTTTGACCTGGAAAAGAAAAAAAATAGAAAGAAAGAAAAGGACACTTGTTTAATATAACATGAAGCCGTTACACTGCTGACCATACTGCTTGTCTCGATCTGAAATCAAAATGGCTGCCCAAATACCACGATCGAAGGTTTCAGATGTCTTACAAGGCTTTCTTTAGTCGTAAATCACCTGAAATAACATTAAGATTGGGAAAATGTTTGATTAAAACTAGAATTTATTGTTTTCTTTACTTGAATTTAGCATTTTTTTTTACGAATTATGCGATTTTCCTCAAATTGTGTGATCGGATGCGATTTGAGATCAATTTTGCGAAATCGCACCATCACGTAATATCAGATGGCCTGCTATAACGGTTACCTTGGGGACAGAAGAAGGTGGCCATTATAGAGAGGTGACCATTGTAGAGAGGTTGAAACAAATGTTGATGTATGGACTGTCTGCCAAAAAAAATGGCCATTGTAGAGAGGTGGCTGTTAGTGGAGGTTCAATTGTATTTGCTATAAGAGAATGGGAAACTTAGGGAACCTAGTATCATACAGTATAACAAGTTTAGCTAAATAGCTAATCTATAAGCTAATCTACCACTCGGGAAAATGCCATCTTATTGGAGGTCTTGAGTAAAGGTTGGCCTGGGTCAAGTTAAAACCAACCCAGCTTTATAAAAGCTGTCTTTAGAATGTTCAACTTTTCAAGAGTTATCTGTCTGAAACGAAAGTCAGCCTGAATCAATGAACTATAGTGTGAAATGATGAACACTGCCTTATAATTTCTTCTATCAATAATTTCACATATTCCCCAACCCTCGGCCCCATTTCTCGAAAGTCCCAATAATAATATTACAGGCCCTGTTTTTTTTTACTTTCAATTTGGTGCTTTTTTCAGCTGTTTATGTGTGCTTCATGTTTATGGTGAGGTTCAGGGTTTTAAATTAATAGTTTTGAAACCAAAACCTACATGTATAAAACCATCTGTTAATGAAACCTGGTAAATGATATTGTAAAATATGACTTTGGGCCCTAAAAGATGTTGGGATTTTTAAGAAACAGACCCAAGGCACATTGAGGTGGCCTGAATTGAATACTGTAAGTGGTTAATATTATTGTCTTATTTAATTGTAGGTTTGCCTGAAAGTTTGATATCTGAAGGATGAGGTCAAGTGAAGTACTGAAAATACCTTGAATCTGTTACTGTAAGACACATATAATACATTTATGTCTTTTCTGCTCATTTTAAAGTTCTACTGATTTTCAGAAACAAAATAAGAACTAGTTTAAAATAATGATTAACTTTTTTTTAACTTAACACTGTATTTCATTATCAATATCTTACAACATGTACAAATAAGAGAAATGACCTCTTAAGGCAATGAAAAACACTAATTTTAGTGCATTTTATTACGCCAATGTTTCTATGCTGTGGAAGTTAGTGCAACATAGCACAATTCTTAGTCAGATATGCATCATGTGTGAACCAGGTTGTCAGCACATGCATTGCAAGTCAAGTTTATAATAATTAAGAGACGTCGACAACTTGTAAATAAATGCATAGTTCAAGTGTCAACTCAGCACCTAGAAAGAGAGAGCCTCTAGAAAATTGAATTCTAATCAGAAAGGGATGGGTTCTGAGTGTTGTGCCCCAAATTAGGTGCTAGTGACAAAATTAGTATCATTTCCAGAAAATTTTAAAGTTTTTAAATTTGCATCTTCTTTTAATTGCATGATGTCAAATGGCTTACAGAACAAGCCAAGAAAATGTCCAGATTTGTTGAACTTAGGGTCATTTCTCCAGCCTAAATCTCTTTGCACAGTCAATCTCTTCAGAGCGAAAAAAAATTTTAAGTTAAAAAAAGACAAGTAGAATATTTGTTTCAGTGGCACTAAAACACTTCTTGAAGGTGTTTTCTTAGTGTGGGTTACTGGTATTTTAGATGTACAATGTATTACGTTCCAGGCCCCTGTTGCTCAAAAGCTGGATAGAGCTATCCATCGAATAAATCTCTATCCAGTAGATAACAGTGGATTAAGTTTTGATGAGATCACAGGGCGCCCACACAATCTGTTTGTGTAGCCAATTGCTATATTATAGTAAATGTAATGGATTTACCGTTTGCTTCACCTATAGCGATGTATCGCTAATTATGTATATAAATCAGTGATAAATAAACGTTGAATTACCTTACCTGTGGTGTATAGTCGACCTTTTGCCTCAAAAGCGGTTTTTTGAGCGATTTTGAATGAATTTGAGTTCGCCATTGACTGTTTCATATAATAGAAGGACCCCTTGTCCTTCTATTATATGGAACAGTCAACGGCGAACTCAAATTCATTCAAAATCGCTCAAAAAACCGCTTTTGAGGCAAAAGGACGACTATACACCACAGGCAAGGTAATTCAACGTTTATTTATCATTGATTTATATACATAATTAGCGATACATCGCTATAGGTGAAGCAAACGGTAAATCCAGTACATTTACTATAAAATAACAGTCGGCTACACAAACAGATTGTGTGGGCCCCCTGTGATGAGATTGCATTTGTTGTTACCACTGTTACAGCACAGGGGGCCCACACAATCTGTTTGTGTAGCCGATTGCTATATTATAGTAAATGTACTGGATTTACTGTTTGCTTCACCTATAGCGATGTATCGCTAACTATGTATATAAATCAATGATAAATAAACGTTGAATTACCTTACCTGTGGTTATACACCACAGGTAAGGTAATTCAACGTTTATTTATCACTGATTTATATACATAATTAGCGATACATCGCTATAGGTGAAGCAAACAGTAAATCCAGTACATTTACTATAATATAGCAATCGGCTACACAAACAGATTGTGTGGGCGCCCTGTGGTTACAGCTGTAACAACTGGGACCTGTATGTATAATGTAATGCATATTTTTCACAGAGTATCTCGCTTCACTCTGTATGTGAAGATGTAATAATTGCTAGCACTTTATATGCCATAAATTATTGCTCTGGTTTTGTATTTAATTAGAATTTAACTCCTTTGTTGTGGCAAAACAATGTGAAATATTTATTGCAGAAAAGAATTATGAATTCCAATAATTTGTTTGCTGAAAAACATGTGCTAAGAAGAGTTAAAGCTACAAAAAATAGCATATGATAGTAAACTATTTTTGCCTTTAAATTTCCTGCAGGCAGCTTTTTAAAGTTTTGATGAGATTGCATTTGTTGTGATCACTGTTATGTAATAAATTGGGCAGGTCCTTAGGTGGAGGGGGGTGGGGGGGGAGGTTGCCTTTGCCAGCTCCCTCTTTGCACCACAGAAACACTTTTTCCTTATTCCATACACCTCGCTTTAACTGTT